AAGAAAAAGAAAAAAAAAAAAAAAAAAAAAAAAAAAAAAGAAAAAACACTTTTGAACAGTTCTGATGTTTGACTCTACAATAACTGAAACTCAAGATCTCAATCACTAAAACTACATGAACTTCCCATAGTCTCACATGCCTGTGTGGACTGCGAGTATGTGCTATAAATGCATAATGCTTGCGCTTAAGGTAATTCAGGTGGTTGAGGAGTGTGAAAGTCTATCGAGCACAGAGGGAGTTGCGGTGTTGTGCAGATCTCCATGTCTCAGTCAAAACCAAATGTGGTGCTTTGAGTGGAAAGGTGAAGTCAGCGTTAACAGCCAACCAGCAGCTGCACAGTTGGTCTATGGGTGCAGTTATACTTCTGCATTTGGTAAACGGGGGATGTATTGAAGACACATGGTGAGAACATTCACCCTCCTTGAAGAGCTAAAAACAGATTCAAGGTGTTCTTCAGAAAGGAAATACTGCTTCCAAAGCTAGACTGGTTGACAAGAGACTTTACCTTGGTCCAAGGGTCAAGCATACCATTTGAGAGCAAGAGACTGGAGGGTGTTGCATGAGTTGACCTGTTGGTGCAGGGACCAATATGGTCAAGGAAGAAATTTAAATGGAGAAGCTGCCAATACTTACAGCATCATCTCAGTAGGTGATTAAATTGCACAGAACTTACCAACTGCGACCAAGACAAAAGAATTGACCGCATCAAGAAATGCATTTTGGCATGATTAGGAAGTCATGGGATTATACTTAACATGCACAGTTGAGTGAGAAGTATGGGAGAAAGGTCCATCGAGGGCGAATACAGTTGCAGCGTTATCTGGGGACCAATATTTGTCAGCCTTAATGTTGCGTTGTCTCTGACCGGCAGAGATGAAAAGCAGGAATGACGACAGCTTTGTTGCTGGTTGCCCTACATAGTCACAGTCCAAAGGAGTGTGAAAGGCTGTGGTTCAGTACCGAAACAGCACAGCTATTGGAGAGAACATTGGTCTACAGAAGCAGTTAGAATTCCTTAAACAGGAAATTAAAGAAACATACAAAAGCAGGGTTAAAAGCTGCATTATAGACTAACTTTCTCTATAAAGTTAGGAAACCAAGCATACACAAGGTGACACTGACCATCCATGCCACTTCGTTCATTCAGCTTGAAAGGGAAGGGAAAAAAAGAACCTCAAACTCTTAACACTTCTTAGTTGTACATTCAAATATAAATATATATATATATATATATATATATATATATATATATAGTGGAGGCAGCAGAGACAAAGCAGTTAAATATTGATAGATTCGGTATAGGGTCTAAAACCATGGTCACTTCAGTAATAGAATGTAAGAGTCATGCTGATGCTCACAGAAGGGAAAAAAATAAATAAAAAGCATCTTATTTGAAGACAAGACACAAAAACCAAAAGGCTATTAATGTACAACATTTAAAAGCCACAAAATTGTAATACAACAAGACACTTGAACAATTTTACAGCAATAATCAAATTAGAACCGTCTACACTTCAGAAACTATAATTTCACCTGTTGGTGCAAGGTTCCTCATAAATTCAGATCTAACATCTCACAAATACTGAAACACGGCTTAACCTCACCAAACACCACAGTGAACACTCACACAATGCCTAGAAAGGCAAAGGATCTGAAAGAACAAAAAAACAGAGCAGATTATGTGAAACCCAGGAGTTTCACAGTCAAGCAATAAGCTCTGTATTGGAGTTACCATGCATTGTATAGTCTCCGCCCATGACAACAAGGTAGTGTTTGCAACTGTCTGAGGAATGATCAACTCAGAGGAGCTTGAATCACAGTTTGTCTGTACATAAAACAAACATCAAGTTAAAAAGCAGAGATTTATTCTTACAAAAAATACATAATAAATAATAATAATAATAATAATAATAATAATGTGTGAAAATACCACAGATGAAGAGGAAAGACACTGGTATGAAACCAAACACTGGCTGAGCTTCTCATCCGATGCCATTTCTCTCTTGATGCAGATCAGCTGTCTTTCAATCATTCAAACAGCTGCATGCTTTCTTCCACCTTCAACAAGATGGTTAAGAAAAATAAATAAATAAATCAACTCCTAACATTTACTGGATATAGGTTTTCATTTATTAAAAAGAACCATCAAGGGAATCAATCAAGGTAAATAATCAAATAACAAATGAGGAGAAAAAAAAAACACTACCGTCCAATGATTGAAGCAGGCACATAATTTCAAGCATGACAATCTCTTTCTGCATCCTTACACTGCAACTGCTATCTCATACTGATAAATCTGGCCTAGTCCAGCTAGTGTGCATTTATAGCGATGGGCAAAACCATTGACAGTGACGCAAGCTAACAGAAATTAATTGAATCAAATAACCAAGGTACTTGGACTTATATAAATGTTAATCAAAAAGAGCAAAAGAAAAATTATTCGCTGCTTTAATGGATATTTGCGTTATGTTGACGTTAATAAAGTAATTCGGTGTGAATACAGTGTTGGGGGGGGGCATGAGTGAAATTAGACAAACTTGGGGGGGCGCATGTTCTAAAAGGTTGAAAACCTCTGACCTAGACCATACAAATAACTAACTCTAAATTGAGAATTAATCACTCTTTTTGGACAAGTGTTTGATTTGTGAATGAGAAAGGCTTTAAGAACAAGCGGAATGCTCTAAACAACGTGATTATTTTTCATGAGTCCAACGTCCAGCCACACAAGAAAACATGCATTTTACCTGAGGGAAGACGTGATTAATAAGGGAAGTCATCTTTCACTATTAATGTTGTTAAATAGATAAAACGATTTACATTAAGTAACTTCCAGCGTATTCTTAACCTTGGATCTCATTCTTAAAACACAAAATGACCAATGAAGTGTCAAGCACCAAAAGCAGCCCATAATAATTCTATAAGTTCTCTTTAATTGAAAAATATGCATTTTCTTACACACACAAATAGAAATGTTGCTACAATATACACTACCATTGAAAAGATTGGTGTCAGTAAATTTTAAAGATATTAATTCATATATTCAGCAAGGATGTGTTAAATGTATAAAAAGTGATAAAACATATTGTTAGAAAAGATTTCTATTCTGAATAAATGCTGTTCTTTTTAACTTTTTATTATCAAAGAATCCTAAAAAGAAAGTATCACAGGTTCCAAAAAATTTTAAGCAACAACAGTTTCAACTGATGATAAATCAGCATATTAGAATGAGTTCTGAAGGATCATGTGACTCTAAGACTGGAGTAATGATGCTAAAAAATCAGCGTTGTGTCACAGAAATAAATTATATTTGAAAGTATATTAAAACAGGAAACAAATATTAGAAATTGCAATAATGTTTCACCATATTGCTGGTTTTTCTGTATTCTGTATCAAATAAATACAGCCTTGATCAGCGTAATAAACACTCTCTCTCTCTCTCTCTCTCTCTCTCTATATATATATATATATATATATATACTGTATATATAAAATGCATGTGTGTTTGTGTGCCTTATTTTTCTATGAAAAATCACGATTGTCCCTTATTTTTCCCAAGTTGACAACCCAATGTATAACATTCACTGCACCTTAAAACATCACACTCTTACCCAATCTGGATGAACTGTGTTGTTAGATTTAAAATTCTAGCTTCAACCACCGTTTATGATGAAACCCGGTTGCAGTGACTAATTTCTTCAGTTTTGTCAGGAGTGCAAAATAATCAATCTGTATTTTTTAACATTTTGACTAGAATATCGACACGCATTCATATTCTGTTAGGTCTGCTGCGGTTTATTTGTTCACATAGCGTCCATACGTAGAGAAATACTGATGTATTTATACATTTACTTAATATTTCTTTAGGCGGAATCATAATTTCTATTAATTTTCCACTGATTTACACGATCTGATGAGCATTAGCTGCTTCAAGGTGCCATCTGCCTGTGTTTCTCTGACTCTAACCCATTCGCTGCTTACCTGTCACTCATATCATGTGTTCATAACCCGCCATGTCTCTTCCAATGACGAGCTTCCCCTACACTTCTGCACAGTATATTTACAACAAACAAACCCAGAGTTTCTACACATGAAGCATACATTTAATAAGCACACAATTACGATAGTATATAATTTGTCTGTTTTATGTTTCACAACAATAAAGGATGCTTATATGAGAAATGATGAGCTGGTGTAGTGATTAGATTGGTATAAAAAGGATATAAAAAACATTTCAACAACGTTTAGTGACCAAAATCCACATTAGATCACAAATGTATGTTGTAATTACAAACACTGGAGAGTGGGCTGGAGGTAAAGCCCGATAGAGGTTTCTAGTGAGATTATACCAATAGTCCACACAGTGGCAGTATTGCATTGTATGTTTAGTCCAATGGAAAGCGAGGAAACCCACAGTGTCCCCTTGTCCAAATAACCACACTTGCAGTCTTTGCACTTGACTACTCATATGCAGGGCCGCATTAAGACCTTACTAGGCTCCGGGGCTATGACTTACTGCAGGGCCCCCTATTACAAATATAATATATATATGGATTTAAATAGGATTTTTATCGTATTTTGATGCATTGAAATTTCATAATTCTTGTTACCAATTTCAATATTAAAAAATACATTAATTATAAAAAAAAAACAAGCTTCTACTTAAAACAAGTAAACAGCCACAAATTACAAAAAATAGACCTACTTGAAACACTTAAAGCACTGAATAAGAAATGTTATTGTATAAAATAAATGTACAAATAAACTGAATAGTCTTCACTGTATAAATTCAATATACATTCATTCTTAATTATTTTACAAAAGTGATTCAGTCAAGGACAGTGAGTGATTTTCTTTCTAATGTTTGATTAACATTATTGACATACATTTTAACAGCAGTTAAATTAGGCTGCTTTAGAGGAATAGCTGACCCAAAAATGAAAGGTCTGTTGTTGTTCTAAACCTGCATGAGTTTCCTTCTGCTGATGAATGTAAAAGTATATATTTGGAACAATACTGGTAATCAGACAGTTGCTGGGCCCCCATGACTTCCATAGTATGAAAACCAAAATACACTACTGGAGTCAATGGGGACCAGAAACTTTCTAGTTACGAACATTCTTCAAAATATCTTCTTTTATGTTGAGGAGAACTAAGAAATTAATACAGGTTTAGAACAACTTGAGACTGAGTAAATGATGACAGTATTTTCATTTTTGGGTGAACTATCCCTTTAAAATCTAATCATAGGATCTCATATAGCCTACTACTACACATGATTTATATTTAAAGGCACAATATGTAATTTTCGCCGCTAGAGAGCGCGTATTCAAAACAAACAAAGAGACAAAGGCGTAGTTTGATGACACCGTGACCGAGTGTGGGATCATGGGAGTTGGGGTCTTCATCCCCACAGCCGATGCAATCCGACGGGACTCGGGCAGAAGTCATGTTCATGGATGAGCTAATGATTTATTAACATAGTAGAATAAAGCAGGGTGAGGCTGAAAGCCGTCAAAGCGAAATGAGGCGCTGAACGAGCGCGACACATGGCTGGAAAGCAGCGGCGCTTTTATTATGCCACAGTCGTGCGCACACAAGTCAGCAAAATATATAACACTGTTCTAGTGGTTTTTGGATATTTTATTTAAAAAATCTTACATATTGTGCCTTTAACTATTAACGTTAATTTAAGGCACAAATGACTGTGTTGACGAGGAGACATTTTGACACATAACTGTGCATTTGAACATTTAAGCACAAGGCGCGAAAAATAACTCAAGTTTAGACTGGCGCTGTACGAGCAGGTGTACGCGTGCCACACGAATCAGGCCGTAACCGTCTTAATGCGCGTGTAACGGAGGCCAGCGAGTAGGTGCTGTGCAGGTAAACCTCACTACCCTGATCTCAAGAGACGCACTAACGACTGACGCTAAGGGCTGCAGTCTTTAGCCTCCATGTTAGTGCATCCGCCTCCCAGGCCGGAGACCCTCTCGGAACGAGAACGAGGTGTGGCGGTGAGGACCCGGGAGAGAGGGGTTACATTGGTGCCGTGACCCGGATGGGAGTGAGGTTTAGGGGGGTGAGTGTAACAGAGGCCAGCGAGTAGATGCTGTGCAGGTAAACCTCACTCCCCTGATCTCAAGAGACGCACTAACGACTGACGCTAAGGGCTGCAGTCTTTAGCCTCCATGTTAGTGCATCCGCCTCCCATGCCGGAGACCCTCTCGGAACGAGAACGAGGTGTGGCGGTGAGGACCCGGGAGAGAGGGGTTACACGCGCATTTGCCAAAATGAATTCTACCCCACTGCTTGATGTCCCTGAACAGTTAAAAAAAAATTCAACCACAATGCTTAAAATGGGTTTAAATGAAAAGCTTAGGCTACATTATACCGTGCAAAACGATTGATATATTTCTACCAGTTTATCTCTCAACTCATAAGCGAATATACTTTGTTCAAACACAAAAAGCAATATACATCCATCAAGCTGTTAACTTGTTAATCAAACTAACCTAAAATCTGTGGGGACGATGACGCTGTGATTTTATCTGCACCATGTGCCTGGTCCACTTGCTGTTTAACAACTGACACAATTAAATTTTTGGTGCTTCTAAAGTGATAAAAACCAGTTGCCAATGTTGTACCAAATAAATAGCACCACTACTCATCTTAAACATTTGTGTTTGCATGAGCAGGGGTCTTCTTTATAAAACTCTCTGTAGATTTCAACCTAAAAGTGTATGTATGCACAAAAGCTAGATTTTGTGTATGCACAAAGGTTTTCCGATTTATAAAACCAGGCGTATGCCAGAACCTGCGCAAAAATTCCTTTATAATTCCCAGTCGGGAAGATTGTGCGTGAGTGCATCTCCACCCCGACTCCTTCCAGAAATCACCAAATATGGAGCTTACAACGCCTAGTTTTACTATGCATAACCTCATCTGCATATCATTTCCATGCATATTCCCATCCACGTGACACCATGTTTAACACCGTCAAAGGTACAAGACATTAAGGAAATGAGATACAGACTATAAATGCCATTCATTGCATACACAATTTTTATTGCTAAAAATCATCCCGTATCCTTGTTTTAAAATAAATATATCAAAATATCCATAAAAACGGTTTAAAATAGTTCTCAGATAAATATTTTAGAATAGATTTAATCTTTCATTTCCACTGGCCAAATTGCCATAAATATATACAGTTTTGATGATAAGGTGAACATCTTTTAGTTATTTTTAGTGGAAACAGATAGGCCTATATTTATTGAAGTGTAAA